AGCGACCAGCACGGATCAGCTCTAGGCATGATGAAGCAGATATCGTCCTCTTTTGGAAGACCAAACAAAGTAGTTTCGCTTTCACAACGAAACACACAGTGCCTTCACGACATGGCAGCGGAAACAACAAAACTACAGTGAGAATAAAAGTTACGCTTTCTTTCTTTTGCGTGAACATTTGGGGCTGCGTTATGCAAATCTTCCCACAGAGCGACGTAGGTATGTGGGGGCGTGTTAGGACGAGGCGTTTTAGGTAGGCGTGGTTAACTCTTAACTTTTATAAAGAATATCTCTTTGGATTTGAGATTTTAGTCTTTGCAACTTTACAGATCTTCTTTATGCACCAAGAGCTTGTAACACTCCAAAGAGAAAGGAAAAATTGAAAACGCATCATATGACCCCTTTAACCAGCTCCTAGATCAGAGATTCCTAAAGTTTTTTTTTTTGTCAGCTTGAACCCCTTTGACACAGCAAAATATTTTCTTGCAGTACCCCTTGAGACTTTAGCGTAATATTTTAATAATTCAACAACACAGTCAAATGTTCAGAGTTATCTGATGTGGGCTAATGGTCACATGACATGCAGGTAAATAACTAAAATATTTAATCTCTTTTAGAAAGTGTTTTATTTTGATTGTTTATAATCTAAATATATTTATTTACAGTATAGAGCTGCAAGATTTAGTCACAAAAATTGTTGATTTTTATATTGTGATTTGAACTGTGATAGATGTTTTCCTCATTTGCTGTATTATGATTTTTTTTGTTTAGTTTTTTTTTTAAGTTATATAGAGGTTCTTTGGGATGTTTGGAGTCTTATTTTGGAGTTTATTGCTTTTGTTAGCTTGAGTTTGACTTGAAATGAAAAATATTTCTAAAAATAGTTCATAGTTCAGATGATCCTTGATCCTGGAGTCGTTCTGTTTTGTTGAGGTTGGCAGATCATGGATCTGTGGAAAAAGGTTTGATTTGTGTTGTTTTCCCCTCCCTTCAGCATATGCTAATGAAGCAGCAGGATCGCATTGACGATCGAGTGAAAGACATCGAGGAGCAGCTGTATAAGTTAGAGTCTGACAAACTACTAGTGGAGGTAAGGAGATGTCGATAGGAGCATGCACACACACACACACACTTCTGTCTTCCTCTGTCTATCTGTCTGCATGTGTCTCCCCTCACCCTCTACTGCAGCTAATGAATATGTAAGAGGCTGGTTTTTGTATGACATTGGCAGTGTCTGTGCTTAAGCCTTGTGTGGACCTTTGTTCTTTTTTTCCCTGTTTGCAGTTTTATTTTTGTTGTTTAAGGAAAATTAATTAGACAAGTATGTTGTACTACAAAACAATACAGTCAGGGAGAGGTCTTGTCAAATTCTCCTTGTTTTGAATATGGATCTCTATTAACTTTTACAATAGCTGCTGGTTTTCCTGAGATCTACATAAAAATATAAAAATAACAATTACTATTGAAGATAAGTTTTAAAACAACAGAAATAAGACAAGAAAATCTAATGGATCTAATGCAATCAAATCATAAACACATTTCATTCAATCTGCATACATGAACAACAAAAGTGATTAGTTAAGTTGTGCCGACACAATGTGGAATGTTCTCATATTAAGCTATGAAAACAAAATTAACTTTTTATGACTGACTCACACCGACTGACATAATGACTTGCACGTTTTGACATAAATATGAAAGTGTTGTTAATATTAACTGAAACGAAAACTATAAAAAAATTTAAAAAACTGAAATAAAATACAATGTAAATATTACATGAAATACCGAAACTTAAAAAACTCTTGAAAATTAGAAGCAGTCTTGTCAACTAACTGAATAAGTTGAAGTTGAAGTACAGAAATGACTAAAACTTAATAAAATAAAACTAAATAAAATAATTTTTTAAATGGCAAGAGTGCATAACAAATGTACTAAAACTTCATTTGAAATTAAAATGAAAACTTAAAATACAAAACAAGCTATTTCAAAATAATAATTAGTATATAAATAATACTAAAATAATATTGAAATATGTACAGAAATTAGGACAAATATCTAAGCAAAATGCAGTTTAATGGTAAAAAGTTTACCTGTATACAAGCTTTTCTAAAATCAAAAGGTGTTGTGTGGTTCCAGATGATCTTGTGAAAGTATATTAAGATTCTTAAATATAATTTAGGTAGCACAGATACTCAATTCAGGTTGATTTATTAATCAACTTTGTCTCTGATGTTTCTCCTAAAAATGATCACGATAATTTTACAATACAATAAGAATATAGATCTATAAAATCAGTGTGGGTAGTATAGCTCAGATAATTTGGTTTTGGGAGAATGTTAATGAGAAGTTCTTATTAAAGTCCTTGTCTTTTGATTGCATGTTAAAGTCTGAGCACAGTTTAAGACATTGTTGTGATTTTTTTTTCTGAAACCAGAAAACGTGTGAAATTGCTGGGGATTTTAGTAAAGAGTAAACATATGAGAAGCAGACAAAATGAAAGTAAATGAAACGCAACTCTTCATTTATTTTCAATTTCAAATGACTGAGACATCAAAAAGATATTTTTAGTGTTATATTCAGTTTCCTTTCCTACAGAGAGCTATTTGTTCAAGTGTTCACAGTGAGGGAGACTATAGAGATTCAGTATGCACCCTTGTGTGTGTGTGTGTTGTGCAGGATAAGGTACGGCAGCTGAAGAAGGAGGTGCGTGTGCAGTATCACAAAATGCACCAGCTCTTAGAAGATGACCTGGGGAGAACTCTAGAGGTGCTGGATAAAGCACACTCCAAATACTGCCAGGAGAACTCGACCCAAACCCTCCAGCTCAATGAACGCCGCCAGGAGGCCAAGAAACTGCTCAGCTCTGTCCAAGTTGTGTTTGATAAGGCAGAGGATATTAACATTATGAAGGTGAGGTCGATTCTGTCTTTCATCTGCTCGTCCTTCACTGTCTATGATATCCTACAATCCTGAGTGTGCGTTTTGGATGCTGCTGTCTGAAAAAAGAAGTAAATGAATTCACAAATGTCATTGTTGATTAATGTATGAATGTTTGAATTTATAATTATTTTGTTTTCCACATATAATTCCATGTCTAGCAAGAAAAAAGCAGTGTAGTGATTAAATATAGCCTGTTTTCGATTATTAAACATGATGTCATGGTGTCTTGGAAATTTGTCTGAAACCAGTTTCCAGAAAGCACTGTCTGTCTAACTGGGCAGTAAGGCAGCTGCCTTGGTTTTCGGACACAGTGAATATTTCCTTGAACACACTCCCATCTGACTTATGCTATAAATCCCCTTGCTCTCACCCACATACTCTCATAAACACACAGTGTGAATGTGCCCATACCTGTGAGAAATTTTTCCCTGTCTGTGTGTGGTTGTTATCAGCAGATCTGCACTTCCAGATTTTTCCATGTTTACAGACAAAGAGGCAGTCAAGCAGCAGCTTGTAGACTGCAGGGAGATTAATATTTTGTTCTGTTCTGTTTTGCTTTGTAGAACACAAAACCAGTGAAAATACTCATGGACAGGTATGCCGTTTATGAGCCAAACTGCAGAAATGTATATAAGTTGAATACTAAATCACGTTTTGAATATGTAGTAACCTGGTCATGTGTAATGGTCTTTTTACAGATCACAGTCAAGCACGGGCAGTGTTCTGCCTCCTTGCAAAGTGGGTCATCTTAATTCCAAAATATTCCTGTCTGAAGTCTCAAAAAAGGAAAAGAACTTGCGTAAAATACTGGAAGGTGAGTAAAAACTGGAGTGGTTCAGTGACAATTGGTGGGTTGCACATCTTTTCTAATTGGATCATGGATTCTAGGATAAAACAATGGTGAATGAAAATAACAAAATGCCACTAGCCACATAATCATGCAAGTTATGATAGTAAATTTTTTTGGCACAAATTTATGTCACTTGGTAGAAGCAAGCCAAATTAGAAAGGTACCAAAATAGACTTTTTTGCACCTTTTAAATTGAAAATGCGGTTCATACATGCATGAATTCACCTACTTTATGACGAGCATGTTTTAAATTTCTTAATTAAACTTAAATTAGATATTTTTGTAAAATACAAAATGTTAGGCTTATGCGGTGCAAACAACATTGAGAAACATGCAAGAACAAAACAGGTCAATAGGTCTTAAATATCAGATAATTTGACCTTGTTATCTGTAAAAATACTTTTTTCTTAAATTCTTTATTTTTTAAGGATTAAGATGTGTACACTCACATTTATTCAAGGTGTGAATGTTGCTGTCATGAAAATGTCAGTTTTTCCTTGGCTACACCATGTGACATTGGAGCCATTATATTGAAACATTTCTTAAAGCCTGTCAAATCCATATGAAACTAACATAAATATAAAAAGTACAATGACGTTTAAATTAGATAAACAATTTTTCATTTTCGTTATCTTTTATTCATCATTGACCCTGGAATGCCCTCATCCTCAAAAATCAAACAAAACAAAAACCATGAAAGAAACCATTAATATTGTTGTTGTTTCTTTTTTTTTTGTCTGATAAACAATTTTTGGTTGATTAGTTTGTAAAATCTAGGTCCTTAAGCACAACCATTTGAAAATCACTCTCAAAATGTTTCTGTTCAACATATAGTTTTTTCCACAAATCAAACTCTTTGTCCTCGTCCCCTTGTTTCCAGCACCATTCAGTACTCCTGCACACTTCCTCCAGAGCGTTTCTGTCCACCCCTCCAGTGTGAATACCTCCGGGGTTGAGAAACGCAAACACTCCACGACCTTCCCTGAAAGCAGCACCAGCCTGCTGGAGTCCTCGTCAGGCCCCATGAGCAAACAGCAGTTCCTGGGTCAAGGTTCCAACTCCATAGACGGGCCAGTGTCGCAGCCGCACATGGCTCCCTGTAGCTCCACCCAGCACATTGTAGGCCTCAGCAGTAGCAGCAGCGCCCAGTCTGTCCATCATTCCAGCTCCGTTTTTACTCCTGCTGACTACCCCAACCCCAGCTCGTCCCAGCAGGCCATGCTGCCGCAGTACGGCGGCCGTAAGATTCTCATGTGCACGATGGACAACTGCTACTGCTCTAGCGTCCCCTCCATATCGAACCACCATGGCCATCCTCCCTACCCGCGCTCGGGATCTTTCCCTTGGACACAGGACTACACCCACCCCCTGCCCTCCACGCCCTCAATGTCCCAGCCTCTCCAGGGGCTCTCCATGCACGACTGGATTGACGCCTCACAGAGCCACAGGCACCCTGATTTCTATGGATTGTACGGCCAATCTTCCACTAAACCATACGTCACCAGTTAACTTCCCCTGCATCTCTGGTTTATCTCCAATAACTCACCCATTTCCTTAAGGTTCGGTCACATTTGCGAAATTTTGCGTGCAAAAACAAGTAAATTGTCAATAGCATAGAGATGAATGAAGCACAGCTCACACAGAAGTCAGTTTCAAACCAGGCAAATCTGCATGACCAACTTGAACATGAGGGAAATCTGTGTGGGGAAATTTTTTGCGCTTGCGCGAAATTCCCAATTGCGTGGATTCTTATTGGAATGACTGGATTTCGCCTGCAAAATTTTGCCAAACAACGGCAAATGTGACTGCACCTTTAGACCTTTTTTTCCCGCCTGTCTTTCGAAATCAGGCTTGTTATCATCACAATCAAAAGGACAGCACTTTTTAGCATGCAATGCAAGTCTCTCGGCTTCAAAACACTGATCTCTTCCAACTTAAGCATTAATACCTTTTCTGTCCCTGTGTAAAACATAATAAGGGAATCTTTCTTTGAGAAATGTGGAGGTGGGACCCAGCTGATTTTTTTAAATTACAAACAGATTTTGGATAAATTGCACAGGGTTCTGACCCAGAGCAGATAATGATCGCTTGTATATGGAGTTAGTTTTAACCTCCCTTCTTCCTGTTTTTAGGGCATCTAGAATCTGGTTGGTTTTTATGATGTGGTAAAGATTAATTTTAACCTTGCTGTTAAACTTCTACAGTTTTATTAATAGTAGATGGGGAATATTGATATAAAAAAGAGGGATAGAGTGTGTTCATTATTTATCATATTTCACCTCTATTGCACCTCGAGGTTTTGGGCTTAAGTTTCTGCTGAACCGCTCCACAGGTAACCATATAAGTGGGAACTCCGATTATGGTTTGACATGTTACTAACATTCCTTAGAGGCCAGAGGATCTTGTTTTTCTGTTATGTTTACAGTTATGTATTAATATTTTTCATTAGTTTTCGGTAGGTTGGAAAAGATCAGTACAAAAACTCAATCCAGATTCTTTGGAGGCTTCAAAGATTTTCCACCGAGCATGTCATGAGCTAGTACTTCTGGATTCTGCTTCCTGTCAGATAATGTTTCTTCCTGCATTCAAGCACATGTGAAACATGTTCAGGATGATTGGTGCCTACACACACCTCTCAGTCTTATAACGGTGTAGATATACTTCCTGTTTTAGTCAGTGACTGTGAAGCCCGATGGGGTCACCATGGAACACTGATTGTCATGAACATGCTGAAAAACGTCCTGTTTGTGATTGTAGGCATGCAGGAAAGCCTATCTGTGCACTCAGAATGCCAAGAAACTCGACTGAGTGAGACTAGAGGACAGTTGGTGACATTTTTTCACATATTTTATACATGAAAACTGAATGGACTGCATACGTTTGGAAATTAAAATACATGTGCTTCAAAAGAGTATTAAATGCTGGTTTAAACTAAAGTGTATGCAATCTCTTTTGTAATTGTGAAATGTCGTTTTCTTTTTGCTGGTAGAAGTTATGACTAAACTCCGGAGCTTCTAAAGCTTTGGTTCTAAATTGGGGGCCTCCGTAAACTTCTAATCATGGCTTAAAATAAGACAAAACAAGCATTAACACAAGTTGCAATAACTAAAATTCAAGATATTTTTCTTGGAAGAACCAGGATATACGAAGGAGTCTCATTTAAAAGTTAGATTTTTTTTTTTTTTTTACCTGGAAAGGTCAGGTAAATTAAAGGGGGTGGTTGATTGCGATTTAAAAAATTTTACGTTAGTTAGTGTGTAATGTTGCTGTTTGAGCATAAATAATATCTGCAAAGTTACGAAGCTGAAAGTTCAATGCAAATGGAGATACTGTCTTTTAAAATTCTGGCAGTTTAATGCCTACAAAAACGGCTGGTATGGACTACAACGAGTTACTTCCCGGGTTCGTGACATCACAAACCCAGACAAACCCCGCCCCCGGGAACATGCAACAAAGGGTGCGAGGCCATTCTGCGCTGCTTTAGAGAAAAGGAAGAGAGAACTAGAGTTGCACATAAAAATCTGTTCATATATGAATCGCGATTCTGTCTTCTATAGATTCACAAGTTTCAAAATCAATGTTCTAAAGCAGCGGTTCTCAATACTGTTCCTCACGTTCCCCTGCTCTGCACACACTGTGTATCTCTCTCTCTTACCCTCTCTCTCTCTCTCTCGCTCTCTCTCTCATTCAGCTCAGCTCCAATAATGAACTGTTCCAATTATACACTTATTTTCACATAGCTATATAGCTATTTAAACATGGACGCGCGTGCAGTTGCCGTACTGTATTAAAGCTTTAATCAGGATAAAACTGTATATTTAAAGCTAACATAAGTAGTAGCATTTACAAATAACAGCGTATCTAAAAGTATGAGACAACAACAAACAAAAAACATAGGCATACCATTAAAAGCCGTGCTTGCACAGGTTCTGCACGATCCTCTTCAATAATATCCTCTGCTTCTCAATCGGGCTCAAACTCATAAGCGATATAAATGACGTCTTGTTTACAATACAACCGGAGCACATGCCGCTGAGGTGAGGGGCGTGACGTTTAGACTCGCACTAGAGGCGGTTTAGCCAATCACAACACACCGGGCTAGCTAACCAATCAGAGCCCATCGCCTACTTCTGAGGGCGGGGCTTCATAAAAGCAGAAAATGATCAGCGTGTTTCTCAGAGAAGGGACAGAGCGATGTGGAATAAAGGTAAATTATGTGAGAAATAATGCGTTTTTTAAAAAACCAAGCATTAACTCACGTTAGACTGCACCCCATAAACACAATCAAGCCTAGAAAAAAAACTGAACCACCTCTTTAATAAAAATGATATTTAAAAAGTCCACAGGCATTTTTGTACTGTTTATAAATGTAATTTTTTCTAGTTATTTCAAACTCTGAAATCTGTTATCAAGTAGAAATTGTAAGTAAAAATATTTTATAAGAACCTAATCATTATTCATTAAATCACAAACAACTGGAAAAGTCATGGGGCCTTTGAATATTGTAATGGAGTCAAAAAGGTTGAGAATCACTTTACTACAGTGACATTTACAGAAAAAAATCCTGAGACTTTAGCATGTGCTTCATAATTTTTTTCATGCATAAATGGGTAAATTCTATGTGCACACAGAAAACATCTACATTTCCATGGCAAACTACATGACTGACGTGTTACTGAGTACCATTATTAAGCATAAATAATTGTCACGGTTGTTAAAAAGAAGCATCAACTACTTGTGTGTGATTACAAGGACCGTGTTTGTCTTTGAATTTGGATCATTTGCCTAGACCTTGTTTTTGATTATCAAAACCGGTTTGGAGGTTATGTTTGAAGTGAAGTTAATCATTTGTAAAGCAGTTAATCAACAGGGGTCTCCAAACTCGGTCCTGGAGTTTAGGCCCAACCCTAATCAAACACACCTGAACCAGTTAATCAAGGTCTTAGCATGCTAGATACTTCCAGGTAGGTGTGTTGTGACAAGCTGGAGCTAAACTCTGCAGGACAGCAGCCCTCCAGGACCGAGTTTGGAGACCCCTGGTTTACAAGATAGCAACGGCATTATGGACAAGTCCGATACAAATCTTCAGCAAAATGTGTAGCTTACAAAAAAAAAGCCAGACTCTTTTAAATCATTTAAATATAGCAGTCTAATGATTTATGCCAGACTTTCCAGCTCTTCCTCATGGGTCAATGGGGGCATCAGTCACATTTTTCCATTAAAGCATGGTGGAATGGGGGGTGCAGGGCTGACTGGGGTAGAAAGGGGATGGGGGAAGTAATCAGGCTTGAAGAACAGCTCATCGTTTATTTATAAAGTAACATTCCAGCCCCTCTCCTCCCACAAACCCCATACATTCACCTTTACTAACCCCTGGTTTACAAGATAGCAACGGCATTATGGACAAGTCCGATACAAATCTTCAGCAAAATGTGTAGCTTACAAAAAAAAAAGCCAGACTCTTTTAAATCATTTAAATATAGCAGTCTAATGATTTATGCCAGACTTTCCAGACCCCTGGTTTACAAGATAGCAACGGCATTATGGACAAGTCCGATACAAATCTTCAGCAAAATGTGTAGCTTACAAAAAAAAAGCCAGACTCTTTTAAATCATTTAAATATAGCAGTCTAATGATTTATGCCAGACTTTCCAGCTCTTCCTCATGGGTCAATGGGGGCATCAGTCACATTTTTCCATTAAAGCATGGTGGAATGGGGGGTGCAGGGCTGACTGGGGTAGAAAGGGGATGGGGGAAGTAATCAGGCTTGAAGAACAGCTCATCGTTTATTTATAAAGTAACATTCCAGCCCCTCTCCTCCCACAAACCCCATACATTCACCTTTACTGCACTCTCTCACACCAGCACAGTCAACACAACCAATTAGAAATTTGACTGGATTCTACCCTCTTTTTCCCCCCAGCTTGCTGTGGGTGGACACGCCATAAGCTCAGAGAGCTCCACAATGGGTTTGTTTTTCTGAGCTCTGCCGTCCCATGATGCTAATCACGCTGGCTGCTCATGCTGGCTCGTTGCTGCCCGTGGGAGGACTGTAGCCTGCCGGAAGGATCGATTGCAAAACACAACAGAGGCTGCTCGGCTCCACTCCTCTATACATGTCATCACATAGGGATGTATTTGAGGCCTGAAGTGAAAAGGAATATAAAAAGCACCCCAAACATGTCATTATTTTTTCATGTAAGAGAGTTGGTGTGTGGGAATTTGAGGGTGTGGACATGTTTGTACAAATGTTTTGGGGTCTTCTGTGCTGCTGTTCCCTTTGAGGCCATAACAAACAGACCAGCTGTAGTCTAAAGCCTATCTTTTTTTGCAAGTCACATCTGCTTACTCTTCCTTTGCCATCAGTTATTAAATCCTGCCCAGTTATTCAGGGAATGATGTTCTACGATAATGGCTTTGCTGGTGTTTATCACATTTGCACTTTTGAGATTTGTATTGATCTGTTTAACAGTTTGGAAGCTTGCAGATTAGAGAGTGGGCATGTTTTATTGCAGCCTCAGGGCCTGTTAACACCAATACAAATGTTCAATGAAAATTAGGTCCGATTTTCATAGGCAATTTGTCTGTTCAAGATTCTGACATTTTAAATTGAACGAACACTCCATTAATGTTCAGACAAACATTTGCATGCCTTAAATTCAACCTTATACATTTTTTACAAAGAGGTTTTCTAATCTATTTTCCATCGCACTGAGGAATACTGGCACCTCCAAAGCCGTATACAAAATTGCATACAATCTATAAGGGTCCTACAGCTGGTTTGAATCTTAATTTACAACTGTTAAATAAATAAAAATAAATGCACATACTACATATCCCATGTTGTCATGTGATGTTGCGTTGCTTGATTTCTATCCACAGCTCCTCTCTCGTGGCCTCATGAGAGTAAAATGTCCATTTGATACACACTTAAGAATCTCACCTCTTAAGTAGTAGGTCATCCGGGTAATTTTTACCTACTGTTTTTTGAATGCTGTGAATTTGGACAA